TCGGATGCTTGGCAACTGGCGTGTTATTTATGATGGTTTGCAGCAGTGATGAAATTCATTTTTTTTTACTACCGGTTCTGTGAGCGTGGTGGGCATGGGGTGGCTTGGTGGGCATGGCAGGGGGAGGATACTACTAACTCTATTTACCCCTGTCTATTTGTGGTCATTCAAATACTTTGGGCACCTGATGAGAAGGAAGGACTCACTAGAGAAGAACCTAATGCTGGGAAAGATGGAGGGCAAAAGAAGAAGAGGACGACAGAGAATGAGGTGGCTGAATGGAGTTGCTGAAGCACTAGGCATGAGCTTAAATGGACTTCAGAGGATGGTAGAGGACAGGAAGGCCTGGAGGAACGTTGTCCATGTGGTTGCGATGGGTCGGACACAATGGGTCGCAACTAACAACAATTTGTGGTCATAAGTGCCTATCCGTATTTATTCCTGTCTAATTCTGTAGCAATACTGCCCTGCTTCTTCTTCTTCTTATGATTTGATACATATTCAAACAAAAAATATCCTCATTTTCTGGAAATCTTATCTTGCTAAATAGCCCTGTCCTTTCACTATCAGAAACCACATTCTTTCTCCTCATTCCTGTGTCAAGGCAGCACGAATTTTAATTACGTTTATAAAATATTGGCTATTTTCACAAAGCTTGGGATGTATTATCTGTTGGAGTTAAATGTTCCGGCTAGTGGGGAGAAAAAACCTCAATGCCATTTTAGAAGGGAAGATAGAGCTTTATTATTACAGAGAAGCAAAGGGTCCTTCAACAGATAAGAAAGGAACGCAAGGACAAACATTAAGCTCAGCCACAGAGATAAGTTGTGCCCATTAGGATAGGGAGAAAGCAAACTCTTCTTATGGGGAAAGTTACATTCGGAAATTCTAGAATTAGGCAAACACAGACTGGAGGTTCCCACAGTTGGGAACATTGCTAAGCAAGGGGGTTGTTAAGTGAGTCGCCCCTCATTTTATGGCATTTTTTTGCCACAATTGTCAAGGAAATCACCGCAGTTGTTAAATGAATCGCATTGGTTCTTAAGCAAATCCGCCTTTCCCCGTTGACTTGGCTTGTCAGAAGCCATCTTGGAAGGTCATGTTGGAAGAAATGTCCATCTGGGTTCAGTTCCAAGTGGGGGGAAATGACACTGGAAACATGGAAGCTGCTTGGAAAGATGGTTTTAATGGTGAACAGGATCACGTGCCTTGGAGCTCCTGGGTGAAAAGGGAGATCACATGCTTCCAAATGTTGGATGAAGAAGAAAAAAGGGCCGAGATGCTGTGAGTTTTATACCTTCTCCTGGGCCCCACCTTAGAACCTGTTCTGGTGTAAGAAATGTATTCTGATTAGTTGTCAGACTCCCAGGGGGCGGGTGGTGGTGGTCTTAGCTAACTTTTTAGGCTGTCCTGAGACCCAAGCTTGATTGAACCTTGCTGGCTGATGCAATTTTCCCAGATGCCATGTGATGAGATAGGTAGAGGACTAATCCTACTTTTGTTATGTAGAATAGACTGGCTCGGGTCTTAATGACCCATTGACAAAGGGGGAGGGGCAGGAAGCTGCTTTGTCTTTAAAAACATATTTCTCCTTTTCTCATCCAGGGAAATATCATATTCTGCCTTTAATATTTCCTAAAATATTTCATTTTTCTAGGAGAGGGAGGGGTGGGTGCTAACTTCCTACAGTCACATGGGAATCACAGGCCTCTGGGATGCTGCAAGCACTGTAAATAGATGCTGGTTGCCAAGTCCTTATATTTTGACCATGTGACCATGGGGATGCTGTGACAGTTGTATGTGCAAGGACCAGTGGTAGGTCACTTTTTCAGTGCAGTTTGAATCCAAGTTCTTAACAATCTGTTTTATTTGTGGCTAAGACTGGATGGTAGTTTAAGCATAAGCAATTCTTTGCTAATGGGAGTTATGAATTATTACAAGTCCTGGACCAAAATATCAGGGTGGCCATTTGATCTTAGTTATAAAATAACATCAGCAAATGTCTGTCCTTTTGCAATGGTTTTAGAGTCATTTGAGTTCCTGGTTTAATTTAAATTTCCAGTTGTTTGTTTAATCCTGATTATAAGACAATTTATTGAAGAATTTATCTCTTGGTTATCAATCTGAAACAATCTTCATCGGGGTGATTTTAATATCCCTGTAAAATCATCATGTTATGTTAAAAAGCTTTGTTCTCTTTTCATGATAAGAGACTCCAGACTTATATTATTACTTTTACTCATTAATGTAAACCCTGCGATTTTTCAAAACGTTTAACCAGGCCTATTTCAAAGCAGCCTATGACATTATTTATAGTACCTTGTTTCCCTGAAAATAAGCACTCCCAGAATAATAAGTCCAATGGGGCTTTTGAACGCATGCACTAAAATAAGCCCTCCCCTGAAAATAAGCCCTCCCTGAACA